TATCTACAAGGAATCAATAACCAAATGCTTACCTATAAGCACATTAATCATCTTGAAGTGATTGGTTATTTAGACTTGGATTTGGAAGGATATTTGAATGCAAGAAGGTCTACTTCTGGGTATACTTTCCTTCTTATAAAAGGAGCTCTATCTTGGAAAAGTGTTAAGCAGATATACATTTCTACATCTATTATGGAAGCTGAGTTCATTGCATTTTTGAGTCTACTTCAGATGTAATGTGGTTAAGGAATTTCATTTCCAAAGTAAAGGTTGTCAATTCAGTAGCAAGACCACTAATAATATTGTGACAACTTGGCTACAATTTATTTTTTTAAGAATGAGAAAAGTGATAGTTACAGTTAGTGTTGATAAAATCGCGATGTAAATCATAAAATTGTACATTTTACTATTTTAAGTATGCATTTTGAGTAAAATTTATGTTAAAATCAAAATTCCATCAAATCAGAGCCAGAATCGTAAAATCGCGATTTTATTGTGAAATCGATTAAAATCTCAATTTTACGCCTAGTTAGATTTTGGGCCATATCTCGCCACGTGTCACCTCCTCCATTCTTGACCTTCTCGACTTGAAAGCCATTTGCGTAAATCTCCATCTCTGCCCCCTTTCTACTCCATCTTCTCTCCTCTCCTCTCCTCTCTGTCCTCCGTCTGGTTACCGGAGCTATTTCTTTGTGTCACCTCCTCCATTCTTCACCTTCTCAACTTGAAAGCCATTTGTGCAGATCTCCATCTCTATCCCCCTTCTATCCCACCTTCTTTCTTCTCCTCTCCATCCTTTGTCTAATCATCAGAGCTATTTCTCTGTTTCTCTGTTTTCTTCTCTGGCCAAAAGGGAGATAGATAGACATTTTGTTTTGTCGCCATCAACATTGTTCTTCAAAGACACGCCCCCTCCTAACCCAAATATCCATAGGCTCTTGGCATTCTTAGGATTCATTCCTAGATCTGCAATTGCCTCCCTAACCCTCTCTGTTTTTTCCTTTCCCTTGACCAACATAACTGTCCCTGACATTAGCTTTTCCAAATAAGCTATTTTTGTCACAGAAGAGCAAGCAACTTTGGTTAGTTTTAGTTGTTTCTGTTGTCACACTGCTTCATTTTTGGCATTATCAAATATAGACCATTGAAACGCAATAGTTTCGAGTTAGCCTTGTTCTTTACCATTACATGTTTCATAATTTTTTTCTTGCTTTGGTTTTTTGTTCTGATTAATTTACCTGCATTCTTGCTTTTTCTCTCTTATTTTTAGTTTTTAAGCCTAGCCCTTTCCTGGTTTTCTAATTTTCCCTTTAGGGTTCTTGATTTTATTGAAGGATCCACCTTTTTGGGTTCATTTCAAATCCATATTCGATTGGGATCTGGGTTCTTTAGATTTATTAGGAGGATATTCTTTGGTACCCTTTTGATCGAGGGATCTGGGTATTCTTTAATTCAATTCATTCCATCATTGTATTTCTTAACAAGATTCAGGGTTCATGTATTCAAGGGGTGCAAGGTGATTAGTTAGGGAGGGATATGAGGTTTATTACGATCATTGGAGAGGAAATTTAGGTTTTTTAGGGGTCTAGGTTGTTGGTTTGGGGGCTTGATTATGTTAAATTAAGTTTAATTTTAACGGATATTGTTGTTGGGATCTTGTGTCACAAAAACTTCGAGTCTCACGTCATGTTGTCTTTTGGAAACACACTATGTTTTCCTCATTATCAAACTTCCAGGTGTCATCTTCTAATCAACCTCCACTTTTTACTAACCTTTCTATTGAGCTATTTCCTAGTGACTCTAATGTAAATACATTTGATGAGCTCCATGATGCCTCTCCACATGCTTCACCTAGTTCTATAGAAGATGCTCTGCCTACTGGTAATGCATTAGATAATGGCAAGTCTTCTTCCCTTCCTTCTTCTGTATCACCTATTGGATTTGACCTTGTTGAGCCCGAAAATGAGATCCTTAATCCACCTTCAAGTCATTCTACTCAGGTAAGAAATCCTCCTAACTATCTTCATGACTATCATTATTTTCCTCTTATTACCTCCTTACATGTGCCTCAATCCTATCAAGAGGCCTCTTCTAACCTTCTTTGATAGCAAGCTGTGCAATATGAATTACCAGCTCTTGAGAAAACTCGTACATGGAATTAAGTTGATCTTCCTGCTGGAAAGCATTTGGTAGGTTGTAAATGGGGGTATAAGATCAAAACTCAATCTGATGGTTCTGTGGAGCATTACAAGGCTCATTTGGTTGCTAAAGGACTTACTCGAGAATATGGGATTGATTACGAGGAAACCTTTGCATCTGTTGCTCGTCTTACTTTAGTTCGTGGTTTGATTGCTATTGCTACTGCAAAAAGATGGAAATTGTTTTAGATGGATGTGAAAAATGCCTTCCTAAATGGTGATCTTGTAGAGGAAATTTACATGCAACCACCTCCTGGACTTGAGCATCCTCCAAATAAAGTTTGTTGATTGAAGGGAGCTTTATATGGTTTGAAACAAGCACCTCAAGCTTGGTTTGCCAAGTTTAGCACCACCATCAATGAGTTTGGTTTTACTTCTAATCCTCATGATACTACATTGTTCATATGCAAGACGAATCATGATATGGTTCTACTACTTCTTTATGTTGATAATATGATCATTACTGGAGATGATATTTCAAGTATTCATGATCTTAAGCAATTTCTCAGTCATAAGTTTGAGATGAAAGATCTTGTTGTTTTGAGTTATTTCTTGGGATTTGAGGCCACTTCTTCTGATGGTGGTTATCTTCTCTCATAAACAAAATACGCTTCTGATCTTATATTTAAAGCTAGACTCATTGACAATAAGATTAAATCTACACCTCTTGAGCCAAATGTTCGACTTACACCTATGGATGGTTCTCCATTAGTTGATCTTACTTGCTATAGATAGTTGATTGGAAGTTTGATTTATCTCACTACAACACGACCAGACATAGCTTATGCAGTTCATGTTGTTAGCTAATTTATGGCTACACCTCACTCCATTCACTATGCTACAATACTTCGCATCATTCGTTACATTAAAGGTACCACTTTTCATAGACTTCACTTCTTTGCTCATTCATCTCTTGAACTTCTTGCTTACTCTGACACTAATTAAGCTAGAGACTCTAGTGATCGTAAATCCACCATTGGATATTGTATTTTTCTTGGTGATTCCTTAATCTTTTGGCATAGTAAAAAGTAGACAGTTCCATTACGTTCTAGCACAGAGGCCAAATATCGAGTACTTGGAGAAACCACATCAGAGTTACTTAACTTAAGTTGGCTACTAAAAGATATGGGTATTCCTCAACCGCCTGTTACTAATCTTTACTGTGAAAATCAGAGTGTCATGTAAATTGCTCATAATGATGTTTTCCATGAACGCACTAAACTCATTGAGGTTGACTGTCACTTTGTTCGCCATCATGTTGCACAAAGAACTATTCATTTGGTTTTCATTGGCTTCGCTAATCAACCAACAGACCTTTTCACTAAGGCTCATTTTCCTGAATGCTTTCATACTCTTCTTTCCAAACTCAAGTTGGTTTCATCATAATCACCTTGAGTTTGAAGGGAGATGTTAAGATGTGAACACACTTATTGTAAATATTTATACTTTAGAATATTTTCTTTATATACTTTATACCTTAGAATATTCTCCTTATAAATATCTATATATAGATTATTGTACATATAATATTATTTAAGAAAGCAATAAACTTTTCTTCAGATATTTCTCTTTCTTTTCAATTTCTAACAATTGGCAATAGCAAATAACAATCTTTCTAAACTTATGAATTGGATTTGTTAATAAAAAAATATTATTTTACAAATTAAGATAAAGA